CTTCCTTCCGAGGAGTGGCTGGTGGGTTTGAACCGCCAGCCTTCTGGTTAGCAGTCAAGTGCTTTAGCCACTATGCTACCAGAGCTCCTGCAATAATAATAAACTTATTAAATGAGTATCTACTATGTGACAGGCAAAAAAAAAAAAAAAATACATGAATTTAAAAACAGATCAATAGAAAATATCCAAACTGAAGCACAAAGAGAAAAATAAATGGAAATAATGGGGCATGAAAAAGTCTAATTTATTTGTAATTGGAGACTCAGGAAGAGAAAAGATAGAGAACAGGGCAGAAATGATACTTGAAAAGACAGTGGCCAAGGAATTTTCTTAGCTGATGAAAAACATTAACTCACAGATTTTTAAAAAAACAACTCAGTAAATCCCAAAAGAATATAAATACAAAGAAAACCACAACTATTTTGAACATCCAGTCAAACTACTAAGAACCAAGGACAGAAAGAAAACTAAGGCAGATCATGTCACTTATATATTCAAAACCCTCCAGTGGTTTACCACCTCACTCAGAGAAAAAGCCAAAGTCCTTAAATGGTCAAAAAGTCTTATGCAATCTGCACCACTCCTGAAGTGTCATCTCTGACCCCATCTCCTGTCATACACCTCCCTTCTCTTCTCTTCCTCATCTGCTCCAGTTACACTGTCCTTGCTGTCCCTCATTCGGCTTATTCCCATCTCAGGACATCTGCATTTGCTATTCATCTTGCCTGAAACACACTTCTTTCAGACAGTCACATGGTTAACTTCCAAGTCTTTACTCAAGTCTTTCAGTGAAACCTTCCTAGACTATCCTATTTAAAACCGCTTTGCTTCCTTCTATTTCTTCTTCCCTATTTTATTTTTCTCCATAGCAGCTTCCGTTTATGACACTCTTTATTAGTTTATTATCTATCTCATATTGTTGTTATGTGCTGTCAAGTCAGACCCGACTCATAGGGACCCCTCCTCGGGTTTCTGAGGCAGTATCACTACAGAAGTAGATTGCCCAACCTGCCTTCTGAGGAGTGGCTGGTGGGTTTGAACCACCAGCCTTCTGGTTAGCAGTCAATTGCCTTAGGCACTAGGTTACCGGAGCTCCTATATAAAATCCACAAATATGGGATTGTTGACTGCTGTAGTTTCATTGCCTAGAACAGAGCCTGGCACATGTAAGCACTCAAATATTTGTGGAAAAATTAATCACATGTTAAGTAACACTTGACTGTTGTATTTCCTGTCACTTCTTTATACTTTCTTTAAAGACATAATTACTAACCCATTATTATGAGGGTAAGGATTTTGACATGCTTTCCAATTAATTAGTCTATATTAATTTATCTTACTCAAAGGTATTCTACAAGTTTAAATTAGTACTTTCACCAAAAAACTTAATTTACTATAGAGAATTCACTTATGATAATGAAACCATCTGAAATATTATGGAATTTAGAAACAAAGAAAATACTGGGAATTATTAAAATATTTTGAACTTACTCATCTGACATAATTTTTTCGCCAGATGGTAATCTCGGTCCATTTCTGCTCTCAAGAACTGGAAAACATTAAGAAATTCTTTGGATAAGTTGTTTCAGAAAATAACTTAAATAACAATTATGAATTCCCTAGAAAATATTCTGTTAATGATTACTTCACTTTTACTATCTACACATTTTTCCAACAGTGAGTCTCTAATCAATCATCAAGGATGTGTAAGTGCAACTCATCTACTAACCAAAAGGGTAGCAGTTAGAACTCACCCAGAGGCTCCGCAGAAGAAAAACCTGTAGATCTGCTTTTTGAAGACCGTAGCCTAGAAAACCCTGTGGGGGAGTTCTACTCGGTCACATGGGGTAACTATTAAGTCGAAAATGACTAGTAACAGCAACATGGCAAGGCAAGAAGGGCACAGGTGTTTCATTGGTAGAACTCTTGCTTTCTACGCAGATTGTAAAATCCACAAAGCTTGATTCCTGGCCAACATACCTCATGTACAATTGCCAGCTATTTGTTAGATTAGGAAGAAAGGTCTGGCAATCTACTCCTGAAAACCAGCCAATGAAAGCCCTATGGATTAGAATGGCCTATTCTGCAACCAGTCATGGAGATGGTACAAGAAAAGTAAGTTGATTGAACTGGCACAGATAGTAAAGCCATAGTAAAGATAGTAAACATAAAACACTTTATGTTAATATCTCTGGGTCAGGTTCAGCCTTCATTTGTGAAAATTCTTAGTTACAAAAACTATAGACTTACAGTTTTGTTTATTCAATACTTTCCAGACTTATTCTTATTATCATCTAGTTGGGTTTTGTCCCCCTATTTTTATTATTACACAGTAATACAATTTTTTGTGTTGTTTTTCTTGTTAGGTGCCATTGAGTCAGTTTCAACTCACATCACCGGTGACAACAAACAAAACACTGCCCAATCCTGTGCCATCTTCACAATCATTGCTATGGTTGAGTTCACTGTTGCCACCACTGCATCGCTCCACCTTGTTAAGGGTCTTCCTCTATTTCCCTGACCCTCTACTTTACCAACCATGATGTCCTTCTCCAAGGACTGGTGCCTCCTGATAACATGTCCAAAATATGTGAGACAAAGTCTCACCATCCTGACTTCTAGGGAGAATTCTGGCTGTACTTCTTCTAAGACAGATTTACTCATTCTTCTGACACTCCTGATATATTCAATATTCTTCGCCGATATCATAACTTGAATGCAAGAATTATTCTTCAATATTCTTTATTAATTGTCCAGCTTTCACATGCAGATGAAGTGAGTGAAAATACTGTGGTTTGCGTCAGGTGCACCTTAGTCTTCAAAGTGACATCTTTGCTTTTGAACACTTTATAGAGGTCTTCTGCAGAGATTTGCCCAATTCAGTATGTCATTTGATTTCTGACTGCTGCTTCTGTGGGTGTTGATTATAGTCTAAGTAAAATGAAATTCTTGACAACTTCAATCTTTTCTTCATTTATCATGATGTTGCTTAGTGTCAGTTGTAAGGATTTTTGTTTTATGTTGAGGTATAATTCACACTCAAGGTTATATATAGTCTTTGATCTTCATCAGTAAGTGCTTCATGTCCTCTTTGCTTTTAGCAAGTAAGGTTGTGTTATCTGCATATCACAGGTTGTTAATAAGTCCTCTTGCAATCCTGATGTTGGACTCTTCTTCATATAATCCAGCTTATTGGATAATTTTCTCAGCCTACAAACTGAGTAAGTATGGTAAAGGATATCACCCTGACACACACTTTTCCTGATTTTAAACCTTGCCCTAGCCCTTTGGTCACTCAAATGACTGCCTCTTGGTCCATGGACAGGTTCCACAGAAGCACAATTAAATGTTTTGGAATTCCTATCCTTCACAATGTTATACATAATTTGTTGGGACTCATGCAGTTGAATGACTTTGCATAGTCAATAAAACACAGGTAAACATCCTTCTGGTATTCTCTGTTTTCTGCCAAGATGCATCTGGCATTAACATTGATACCCCTCATTCCACATCCTCTTCTCAATCTGGCTTGCATTTCTGGCAGGTCCCTGCCAATGCACAGGTGCAACCATTTTTGAATTATCTTCAGCAAAATTTTACTTGCATGTTTTATTAATGGCATTGTTCAATAATTTCTGCATTTTGCAGGATCACATTTTTTTGGGGGATGTGCACAAACATAGATCTCTTCCAGTCAGGTGTCTACATAGCTGTCTTCCAAAATTCTTGGTATATGCAAGTGAGCAATTCCAGGTTGCTTCTGTTTGTTGAAACATCTCAACTGGTATTCCATCAATTCCTGAAGCTTTGTTTTTGGCCAATGCTGTCAGCACAGTTTGGGTTTCTTCCTTTAATACCACTGGTTCTTAACCATATGCTACTTCCTGAAATGGTTGAATGTTGCCCAATTCTTTTCAGTACAGTAGTTCTCTGTATTCCATTTTCTTCTGATGCTTCCTACATAATTCAATATTTTGCCCATGTTGTTGTTATGTGCCATCAAGTTGGCTCCAACTCTTAGCAACCCTATGTGTAACAGAATGAAACACTGTCTGGTTCTACACCATCCTCACAATTCTTGTTGTACATGAAGCCATCATTGCAGCCACTGTGTCAATCTATCTTGTTGATGAGCTTCCCCTTTTTCACTGACCCTCTACTTTACCAAGCATGATGCCTTTTTTTCAGGGAATAATCTCTTCTGACAACATGACCATAGGAGGTGAATAAAGTCTGGCCGTTCTCACTTCCAAGAGCATTGTGGCTGTACTTCTTCCAGGACAGATTTATTCATACTTCTGGCAGTCCATGGTATTTTCAGTATTCCTCACCAACACCACAATTCAAAGGCATCATCTTCTTTGGTCTTCCTTATTCATTGCCCAGCTCTCGCATGCATGTGAGGTGAATGAAAAATATCATGGCTTAGGTTAGGTACACCTTAGTCTTCAAAGTGACATCTTTGTATAGTAATACCTCAAACAGGTCTTTTGCAGCAAATCTGCCCAGTGCAATACAACATCTGATTTCTGGATTGTTGCTTCCATGGATGTTGATTGTGGATCCAAGTAAAATGAAATCCCTGACAACTTCAATCTTTTCTCCATTTATTGTAATGTTGCTTATTGGTCCAGGTGTGAGGATCTTTGTTTTCATTATGTTGAGGTATAATCCATACTGAAGACTGTAGTCTTTGATCTTCATCAGTAAATGCTTCAAGTCATCTTCACTTTCAGCAAGCAAGGTGTGTCATCTGAATATTGCAGGTTGTTAATAAGTCTTCCTCCAATCCTTTTACCAACTTCTGCAGTCTGAAATGGACCAAACATGCAATCAAGATGTACTGATTATTACTAGTGATTGGAATGTGAAAGATGGAAACAAGAACATCAGTAGTTGGAAAATATGGCCTTCGTGATAGAAATGATGCTGGAGATCACATGGTAGAATTTTGTAAGACCAATAACTTATTCATTGCAAACATCTTTTTTCAACAATATAAAGGGCAGCTATACATGTGGATCTTGCTAGATAGAATGCATAGGAATCAGATAGACTATATCTGTGGAAAGAGGCAATGGAGAAGTTCAGTACATTCAAACAAAAAAAGGCAAGGGGCTGACTGTGGAACAGACCATCAATTGCTCATATGCAAGTTCAAGTTGAAGCTGAAGAAAATTAAAACAAGTCCATGAGAGCTAAAATATAATCTTGATTATATCTCACCTGAATTTAGAGACTGTGTGCACTGAATTTGACACACTGAACACCAATGACTGAAGACCAAATGAGTGGTGGGATGACATCAAGAACATCATACGTGAAGAAAACAAAAGGTCATTAGAAAGACAGGAAAGGAAGAAAAGACCAAAATGGATGTCAGAAGAGACTCTGAAACTTGCTATTGAATGGAAAGTAGCTAAAGCGAATGGAAGAAATGATGAAATAAAAGAGTTGAACAGATTTCAAAAGGCAGCCCCAAAAGACAAAGTATTATAATGAAATGTGCAATGACCTGGAGTTAGAAAACCAAATAGGAAGAACATGCTTGACATTTCTCAAGCTGAAAAAGCTAAAGAAAAAATTCAAACCTCAAGCTGTATTACTGAAGGATTTTATGCATAAAATATCAAATAATGCAAGAAGCATCAAAAGAAGATGGAAGGAATACACAGTCACTGTACCAAAAAGAACTGGTTGAAGTTCAACTATTTCAGGAAGTAGCATATGATCAAGAGCCAATGGTACTGAAGGAAGTCCAAGCTGCACTGAAAGAACTGGTGAAAAACAAGCCTCCAGGAACTGATGGAATACCTATTAAGATGTTTCAACAAATAGAAGCAGTGCTGGAGGTGCTTGTTTATGCTAAGAAATTTGGAAGACATCTACTTGGTCAACTGACTGGAAGAGATCTATATCTGTGCCCACTCCAAAGAAAGGTGATCCAATAGAATGTGGAAATTATCAAACAATATCATTAATATCACATGCAAGTAAAATTTTGCTGAAGACAATTCAAAATCAGTTATAGCAGTGTATTTACAGGGAACTCCCAGAAATGCAAGCTGGAATCATTGCTGATGTTGGTTTGATCTTGGCTGAATGCAAAAAAATATCAGAAAGATGTCTACCCATGTTGTATTGACTATGACTATGTGGGTCATTAAAAATTATGTACAACATTGAGAAGAATGGGAATTCGACAGTACTTAACTGTTCTCATGAGACACTTGTACATAGACCAAGAGGCTGTCATTCAATCAGAACAAGGGGATACTGCATGGGTTAAAATCAGGAAGGGTTGTACCCTTTCACTATTTTGCCCATAAAACAAAAACCAAACTCACTGCCATCAAGTCGACTCCTACTCACAGTGACATCCACTGGGTTTCCAAAGTGGTAAGTCTTTACAGAAATAGATCGCCTCATCTTCCTTTCATGGAATGGCTGGTGGATTTGAACCACCAACCTTTCAGTAGGAGTCCAACGCCTTAGGCACTGTGCCACCAAAACACCTTTATTTTGCCCATAGAATCCTTCAATAATTCA